CGTCACAGGTGTCTGAAATGGATTGACAAATCAGCCATCTTAGTGGGACAACCAAGATGTCACCTCCATTTCAGGTATGGGAAATCCATTGTATAAAGATTATTAATAATTATAAGTATCGCATATCCGGCTGGTTCTCAGAGAATTGATCCGTGGTAAATCACTAAGCAGATCGATATTCCAGAATCGTCAGTCATTATGAGGGTTGTCCAGAAAGACGCGCCAGGACCGGAAAGCACTGCGAAAAGGTGGCCACAAGTAGTAAAGTGGGAACCCAAAAAAGGGAAATAAAAAGAGGATATTAAAAAGTCGTATCGCTTGAAATATGAGGACCGCTCTAAGCAAAAATTGGTACCATGTCGTATCGTTGATGATGTATGTCGGCAGTACGGGGTAACAGACTCGTATAGATTGAATACAAGGTAACCCATATTAGACCAGATGCTGGTCACCGACCGGCCTCGAGATCGGAAGCTCCACCGAGCGTATCACCGTCCCAGATGGATTGAGCTTCATCGACCGGGCTTAGAGAGCCTGAAGACACCGATGAGGAAGATCCCATAGTCCACTCATCACTGTCGGTTTGAAATTCGCCCTGAAGAGTGGCCAAGTCGTAGTTATAGTTGTCTGCTGAGTCGCCAACTTCCACATAATCGTAATCCCATCTGAAAGGCTTGTCATGCTGCATTCGTGGGAGAAATCTCGCTTTAGCATAGTAGAACGTAACTGCGGCTAAAAGACTGCCACCAACTAAGTCAACCGCATAGTGATGTGAAAGATACATTGTCGCCCACCACACCCAGAGGGTATAGATGATGAACAGAGAGCGAAATTTGGGGAAGAGATGGCTCATGAAAAGTGCCTCAATGGTTGCATTTGCGGCGTGGAGTGATGGGAATGCTCCGAATGGGACAGGTGAAGCTGTGAATCCAGAGGTGTACAGATCAAGGCCAAATAACTCGTCGATGCGTGCGAGGCCGGCTGGAGAACCAGGCATCCCATAGTGAGCCGGTGCCAAGCCATACAGGTTTTCGTACCACGGCGGTGAGCAGGGAAAGAGGAATTGGATTAAAACGCCGATAACATTCATATATCCAAAGCTCCGGGCGAAGATCGGAGTTAGCCCAGGCGGGCCGAAGAAGAAGAGGACAAGAGAGCACACAGCAGGTGCACCAAAATGAATGATTCCATAAGGTAGCCATGCCATAATATCTAGAACCACGTTCTTATGCGTCGACAGGATATTGCTGAGGTTGGCTCCATAGAATATGTTCTCAAGCGCGGGGAGTACGCGAACCCAGATTGGAGGCCTCCAATTGCTAGGTATGAATCTAAGATGGAGTTCAATTAGCTCATTACATCTATATCGGTATGCCTATGTACTGGGTACAATGTATAGGTGTAGAGGCGTTCAAAATAACCATCCTCTCAAAAAGCACGGATAAACTTACTGCATTCCATACCAAAAGATCAACCACGCAATGATGGGCAGAGCCGGAAGCAGAAACTGGCAAGTAGTGGGGAGAACCAGGGAGATTAAGATCACCAGGGAAATCAAAGTCTTTATCAGTGGCCCGGGCGTTTCAATAACGGCTAAAGCAAAGATTCCCAGAATTGCTAGAAACAAATATTGCCCATCATAGACCGTCCAACGATGCGATTGCAGTGATTTCAGGGTATCTAATGGAGAAAAGGAGGTTTTCAGAGATGCTATCGAGGACGACGGGGATAGTCGACTGCGCAATTTTGAACGTAATCTTCGCCGGACGCGGTGGGGAAAGAGCAGCTGGAGTGACCGCCATGGCAGCATCACCGTGGCCTTCCCAAGGTATTTTTGCGGATGATCCTTCCACGACGATATGGCGGGGCTTATCACGCCTGCCATTTTTGCTGTGCGGGCGAGGCGAGAGTCGACGGAGAGCAGTGAAGGCGTCAGAAGCCCAACAGAACCACCAAACCAGGTAAACCGGGAATGGAGAAGGTGTTTCGAAAGACTGGCGTAGCTGCTAAGAGTTGAGTTATCGGCGACGCCCAAAACGAAACGATGAACGGAGCCAGCGAAGGAACTTGAACCCCCAAAGTTGATGGTAGGATCGCCTGGGATCTTGGCTTTGCGATCTAGCTACCCAACGATGACACCACGATGAAGACAGTGATGGAGCTCGCGGTGCTGAGGACGAAGCCGGCCGGTGGTGAGAGGGGCCGGATCGAAAGAGAGGGCGTCAATATTGGAGGAAGAATGAGGAAAATCAACGAGCACGACGGGGGGGGGGAGAGAGAGAGAGAGAGAGAGAGAGAGAGAGAGAGAGAGAGGAGGGAAGAAGCGAGGAAACGAAGCTGAAGTGAGAACGAGGAGGAAAAAGGTGGTAATAAAAAAAAACCGAATTTTGGGTGGACCAAGATGTTTAATTGGAGCGTCCTGGTTGTATTGGCTTGGCATATTAACCGGTTGTGGTGTCATTACAGTATGTTTGTATGGAAATAACGACGGAACCACGCTGAAATGTATTGTCGTGAAAGCAGCTTGGTAACGGGAATCATCTCCGACATTGTAAAGTTACCAGAAGGCTGGGCAATGTTGCGGAAGTTGCGGATGCCAGGCAGATCTGCACTGCACACATGATCATTCTCCAAACCTATACACAGTAACTCCACATGTGTGGCTGTTGCAAGGAGCTGTTTGAGGAGAAGAATCCTGTTCGAACACAGACTTCAGTGTATGTACTGCAAGTTATGGATGAAGCAACCTCAGTCTCTACCGTTGGCTGTCTGTCGTTACTGTGATCCAGACATTATTATCATTTAGCTTTGAAGTCCAAGCTTGGACAACCTTGAGCTCAGAGCTCCCATGCGGTCTTTGAAACAGGAAGGTTCAGGGAGCACATGCCCAATGAGCTTTAGTAGCTGTTAGTCAAATTTCAATTTCTTAGCCAATAAAACAACAAGTGGATATGCAAAAAACTGGAAATGGGCTCCACATTGGAATGATTGGCGGCACAGAGTTAACTGCTGATTAGCCGAGTTGTGTGATTGGTTAAAACACATTAGATTAGCGCCCGCTCAAGAAATGAGGTCAAGGGCTTGGCATGTATTACTGTGGTATTCCAACAGTACAGTACCACTAGCGGTGTTTGCGCCAAGCATGTTGCCGCATAATGATGGCATTGAAAAGGGATTAAAGGGTCAATGTGGCTGGTAAAGATACACCACAGAATAGATGCAAGACTGTCGAACAGTTCAATAGTACGGAGTACTCTGTACACCCTCTCAATCTGATTATGATTTTTATCTTCTCTGTCTTGAAGAAAATTGTTAATAATGACCGTCAGAGGCTAGACTACATACATGGACATCATGCCATATTTCAAGTCCAGGTATCCTCACCCAAGTGGCTCAGCAAGCAACCCATGCTGTCATCATCGCTTCAGCTCCCTTCATCACACAGCACCCTCAAAATAATGCTTTTTATGCAGGAATTAACTAATGCGGTGGCCGTGATTGCGACAAAAGCTGGCCCGACCCGTATTATCGCCAATGCGGCAATGCCACAGCGATGTAGGCCACCTGAAGTGGCTGCTTATTCTGTCACATGCTGCCACTCCAGATACAGCAGCAATATACCAGTACACGCCCCTCGCGCAGTCGACGAATAGACGAGCTATGAGGTCACACGACTGCCAGAAGAAACGCTGATGCCTTGAGACTCGCCTGAGCAGAGAGGACATACAAGTACTGTGTACAGTGTGACTTGCCAACACCAATCCTTGCAACTCAAGTCTTTGATTGATACTCCTTATGATTTGAATGCTCATTCCTTCTACAATACTTCTCAGATACAAAAGAAATACCAGTCATTTCTTGAAAAATCAGATCAAGTTTCTTGTTATCCAGGATCACAAGGAAGATTCTTTCGACTGTGAATGTATCCAAACCTTCCATATCCCATACTGGTACTGTTTGAATCCTGTTGCTCAAAGAAAGATCTTGTTGTTCCACTCAATTGAGTTTCATTTTCGACCAAATATGTGCTTGTGGTGAAATAACATGAGGTGAACTCGCAGATTTTTTGAAGTGATGAGCAAAGAGAGAGAGATCACACAACTTTAATTGCGGTAGCACCTTGCTACTAGCCTACTACCATCACTAGCGAGCAGGGCTCGAACATGTCCACATTCCACAGAGTACTGCTTAGTTAACTATATGTAGGAAGAGGCTGTGACGCAATGATCCAAAGAGTTGAACTTCCAACTCCACAAAACTTTGCTGCAAAAGCTTCCCACAGATAGTTATCCTCTGCAAGAACTGCTTTCTATCTATGTAACTATGCTGATATTCTTTCCACCTAAAATGGTTTTTTGGCCAGACCTTTTTCGCTACTTGAACACCAGTACCTCCATCCCAATATTCCCAAACAACACTTCTCAAGCCCGCCCAGTCTAGATGATCCTTTTCCATCCATGCTTGATCAACAAGTCTGCACGGTCCGCGGAATCCACATACTACTTGTAATGATAAGTACTAGTCCACAGCCCCCATATGTATGGCTGGTTGGGGCAATCACGCATCCAAAAGCTATTCATTGAAGCTGGACAAAATATGTAAATATTAACCAGTCATCCAGATCTGTCGCTGATCGAGCTACATACATACCTTAGTTACATAGGTTTCATACACATGTATGGAGTGTATACCCAGTAGTAGGCCACCCAGTGCCTCGTCAAATCTACCTGATCAAATGTTTATCAAAGGGGCCTCTTTTCAACCCAAAAATGAAAGAGGTTTGTTATCATACTTGCGCAGCTTCTACATACATACATATAATCATGCGCTATACCTTATCCTCATGTATTCAAATTTCTCGAAACTCAGTTGCGTTCCTACAATAGGGAGAGGGATCTGACAGCTAGCAAACTATGTGATACCATCAACACTTTTCGTCCGCAACTAATAATATTTTACACTACAAAAATTACATTCAAAAGCTACTCAAACAATAACAAGTCTCTGTGGCGCAACTGGTTAGCGCGTTCGGCTGTTAGCTAAGTGACTTAGCGGTAACCGAGAGGTTGAAAGTTCGAGCCTTTCCAGGGACGATTACCCAATTCTTTTTTTTTTCCCCTCGAGTTTCGACTTTCGCAGATGAAATCAATACTATGTACTTCTGCCTTCCCTTTTTTTTTTTTCAGACCTAGGTAAACATATCATCGATTATGGAGGACACGGACACCTCTTATCTTAAAACTTATGGCTTCGTGCAATTCATATGCACCTACAACTATCTCGGGACTCCACGCAAACTTTTTCATCATTCCCGAATGTGATGAATGAGAAGTAACTAATGAAGCACAACTCCAATAATCAACCAGCTACAGAAGAAGAATCTAACTAGAAACAGGTAACCATCATAAAAAGCCCAAGCCGTATAACTTCAAGCTGGGAATACAACTCGGAGCCTGTTTCATTCTTTCTCTATTTCCTCCACATCGTCAGGCTGTTTCTCTTCAGGCGTCTCAGGGTTAGCCTCGATATCCTTTGCTTGAGGGGATTCAACAACGCCGGCCGCACGAGCCAGTTCAAATTGCCGGCCTCTCTTCTCAGGACCAAATGCGGTCGTCACCACAATACCAACCGCGATGATGGCTGTAGCGACACCCATGGTTGGGCCATATGCAGGAGCCAGTTTGCCCTTCGCACCTTTAACCATGATAGATTCTGCAACAGCATTGACAATCTGCGCAGAAGGCGATGAGATCATGTTGCCTATCTGATATGTTATTCCAGGGAAAGTCGAGCGGAAAGCTGGTGGAGAGAGCTCGTTAAGGTGGATCGGGACGATACCCCAAGCACCTTGAACAAAGAATTGCATCATAAAGCCTGATGCAGAGAGGCTATGTTCCCCGTAAGGCAAAATCCAGGCGGGAATCAAAACGCCGCTCACCAGAGCCGCAACTATAATTGATCGACGCCGGCCAAACCACTGGGAGACATATCCGATGACGGCACCACCCACACAGGCTCCAGTCTTCATCAGAATGCTTGCTCGGCTGGCAGCAGCGTTGTCTAAAGCCTTTTGAGTGAGCATGAAAGTGGTATAACTATCCTGAGAAGTGTGGCTGTAATAGTTAAACCAGGTCATTAAAATGATACAATAAATGACAATTCCCCATTCCTCTTTCAGCATTCGTTTCGTATCAGCCCAGAACGCGCCGGCCGTGGTGCCTTTCTTTCCTGCTTTCTTTGCTTCAAGGAACTGTTTCGACTCAGGAAGGAATATCCGAAAAATTCCACCAAGAAACGAAAGGCCAGCGCCGACCCAAAACACGGTCTTCCATGACTCGACGTCGCCTCCAACGCCAAGGTTAACACAAGCGGCGAAAACGTACCCCATCGAGTATCCCTGCTGCAAGATTCCAGACATGAGACCGCGAGCCTGGACTGGACAATTCTCGAGAGCCATGGCTATAGCGTTTCCGTAGACGCCTCCCATGAAGAGGCCGAACAGGCTCCGTACAGCCAAGAATTGCGAAAAAGTGGCACTGTATATAGTGGCGATCTGAAGCAGACCCAACACGATCATGTTGAACACCATCGGCCACTTCCGTCCCCATCGATCACCAGCCATGCCAAAGATCGCCGCACCAACGGAACGGAGGAGAAGAGTCAGGGTAATCGCGGTTGTGATGGACGTCTTTGAACGGTGATAATATTTGGACAATTTGACGGTTTGAATCGACAGCGCATGGAAGTCAAACGCGTCGGCAAGCCAGCAGAATAATCCGACTAAAAAGTAGAGCCAGCCCTTAAGGGAGAGCTGCAAAGCCAAAATAAAAGGGTTCTGGAGTGGTGCTGGAGATTGCCATTCGGTGTGTGTCTCGCCATATTCATTGGTGACCTCGACACGCATTCTCCACCTGAAGAGGTCGCCCCAGCATTGTTTGGCCGTGGCCAGGGTGCCTTTGGCGATGGGTTCTGCCGGCTCGTTGCCTGACATTTTCAAAAGAACAGGCTCAGAGCCGTCAGTCAGTCAACTGCGAAGAAAAGGAATTCAATGGAGAAACGAAATCACAAGAAGAAGCGCCCGGAAGAGAGATTTGCGGGGGTGTTTGGGAGTATATTATAGAGATCAATGTATGGATGGGATGGAATGGATGTGGAGAGTGACTGTGCAACGTCCGCGATCGGCATGTCACCACATCCCAATTGAGACCCGTAAACACGAGATGGGAGGAAAGAGAGACCCAACAGGCATGGTGCATCCTTGTGGCTTCCCTTTTTATTTGATTCGGGCTATTGATCCTGCTTAAAACAGCAATGGATAAGGTAGCCCAGTATTCAAAATCCAACATCTCACTCCCCCACACCTGTCAAAAGATTGGAAGAGTTCTCCATAAAGATTATCACTTTGGATATCTCCAAGATGCTGTACTCAGTGCCTCGTACGACTGTCTGTCCTGCCCAAGCACATTAGTACATACATAGACGTGTTCTTGTTAGAGACGACGATCCGCTTGTTCCTTCTGGGGTTCGCGTGCCAAGGAAAGCGCCACCGAGGCTTGCTTGCAGCTGCTTAAAGTGCTTATCATCTCTTGGCAGCGTCACGTCAACTGCCAATGCACAGTGCAGAATCGAAGCTAACAGGTCTTGGTGTGCGGGGGATGCGGAGAATGAATCTTGTTAGAACTTTACTATAACCCGTACGAGATGGGGGTTGCAGGGAATGTATGTACCTGTACATTCTCGTCGATTTTTCCAGAACTGCCATGTGCCTCGGGTGTCAATCAACGGCCATTATTCCGGTTTCATTCTGGGATGGTTCAAGCCAGGCTATTAATTCGACTTCCTCGGGCGACTTGAGACGGACTGGAAGTGTAGTCTTGATCAGGATTGTTCCGGGACTAACTAGAGCTGAGATAACTAGCAGTTAACACTGGCTTAGCTTTTGTGAGCTACTTCATATTCATCTCCTATGATTCGGGTATGAAACGTTAGGGCGCATATAAAATCCTTTCCACATGAACCACACTCTTGTGCCATGGACCTAGTATAATCTGGGGCAAGTTTCTGCGGATGCTGTTCTTCAGAGGGAACCTTTGCAGAATTCTCAAATGTTGGTACCCTTGTATTCAAGGGACATGTGAGCTTCCGCTGTAGTTGGAATAACTAGAGATTATCTGCTTAAGAAATCTTCTCTAGCATCCCATTCATGATTAAATATCAGTCCACAAATAGATAAAAAGAATGAACTGAAATTATCCATATTGAACAATGTGTTGGCCAACAGGGCCTAATATTTCATATGTCCAAAGTCTCCAAACATGCTGTGCGCTCTTTTTCCGCTCGCAGAACAGGGTATTATTATTCTTATCATCAAGTGTGGCTAATTTTGGGTATGTTCCGAGGATACCGCCGACGATTCAAAGTCAATGAGCATGCCGAGATTTCTAGAGGCCAATGAAGAATTGCAAAGCGCCGAATTTCCATAGAGATAAAAAATAGAAAAGGAAAAGAAAAAGAAAAGAAGAAACTCGTCATTCTGGAGGTAGCAAAGTATCATCTTGTGGCGTGCCTGTAGTGCGGACTCTATTCCTCGGTAGATAAGTTGATTCGATCAGGGTAGTATACATAGCTTATCCATCATCCATCGCTGGTCTCCATCTCTCTGCGCTTATAGACTCTTTTGTTTTAACACCATAGTTAGAGCTCAAATGAAATATAAGTCAGTTACTCAGCAAAACACACAGTCTCAAAGAAAAGAGCCTCCATACATTCTCCTTGTAAATGCGAAAAGGATATATAATGCGTCTGTGATCATTTCGAAACCGAGCGCATCGGTTTTCAACGATTTATTCTTACCAGAAGAGAACACGCCATGGCGTTACCTCATCCCTTCATTAAATTCGAGAAATCAACACTGAGTCGGCCGCGACTGGAGAATCGCCATTGTCGTCCGCTCGATAACGTCTAACAGGTGCCCTAATGTATCTGCAAAAACGCGGTCAATATAGGAACCGACGAGATGGAGCAAATTGCAGATCGAAAATACAGAAGCCCACCAATTCAGCTTTTATTTGACTCCGTTTTTCCGGTGTTGACCCGATGCCTTCTGTCGCCAGCGATACTTCATGCCGGGAATGGTGCCACGATTCCAGATGTCGACGAGGACACTACCAACAAAAGTTAATACGGTTGAGAGCCGCCCCGTTTTCGAAGTAGAACTTCAGCAACGTATGTGCTGTACCTTTGTGTTCTGTCCTTGTATTCCTCGTCGTTCCACTCTTTCAACTCCACAGTCATTCCGGTTTTTGACCATGTCACATTCTTTTTCTCCAGTTGCTTCCTCGTCTGTTCCTTCACATCCATGACAATATTGTATATCACCAGACCAATAAAGCCGAGCACCGCAAGGACGAGGAAGAGCATAGCAAGTGGAATAAGACGGCGCAAGAGCCCCATTCTGCAAGGGCCGATTTTCTGGCGAAACGTACGAGACTTTGCAACCACACGCGATAGTCTGCGCTGAGAAAGAAAGTGTAACGAAACTGCTGACGAACTCGCCTTTTTTTTTCGGTTATTCGTATTTCAGAGCAAAGCCAGACGCTGAGGCGCAAGCAATAAGATTTGATGAAGCAAAATTATGTCAGGGAAAGTAGTGCAAGCAGTAGAAGCGTGTCAGTGGCATTGTCGGATATCCGCGAAATGGATCTTGCAAGATCTCAACCGCAAGGTCAAGATTCCAATGGATACTGTGCTGAAGGCTTCGTTCAACAGAGAGACGATAGAACGGCTGCTCAAGGAGAATCGGTTATAACTGTGTCCTTATAGCTAGTAGGGCGTAGATTGGTAGAACGAATAAGCACCACAGCAAACATTGTAATTTTCTCACATGAGGTAGAGCGTAACCTCTGATAAATATGTATTCACAGCTCTACTATTTCAGCGGAAAGAAAAACCAGAAGGCAGTGAAACTGGGGATATTATGTATTTGAAGATATACGTAAGCCCAAAGCAAAAAAAAAGGCGACAATCCATGCACGCTGGTGTGTGAGGTGCTCATGTGGGACTCAGCTCAGCAACAGGAACCACACCGCGCACG